TGGAATCATTACTGTTCTAAATTCTTTTTATGAACTTACTAGTCTTAAACTCAATGTCCTCAAGAGTGAAATCTTTACTGTTGGAATTTCTGCTCAAGTTATTTATAAAATTATTTATTTTTCGGGATTCAAGCATGGTTTTATGCCAGTTAGATATTTAGGAATCCCTCTGGTAACCAGGAAGCTTTCACCCAAAGACTGTCAACCTCTCCTTGACAAGATTTATTCCAAACTTAATCAATGGTCAAGGATGAAGCTTAGTTATGCAGGTCGTATTGAACTAGTTAACACTGTCATTCTCTCGGTTGCAAATTACTGGTGCAGGCAACTGATTTTACCCCAATCTGTCATTCATAAGATTGAACAAATATGCTCCAGATATTTCTAGAAAGGATCTGATATCCCTACTTCTGGAGCTAGAGTGAGTTGGGAGCGAATCTGCATGCCAAAGTCTGAAGGAGGATTAGGAATTAAGGGCATTAAGTCCTGGAACAAAGTTTGCACGATTATTCATATTAAAAATTTGTTGGCTGGTGAGGGTTCCTTATGGGTTGCTTGGACTCATAAATATATTATAAAGCAGCAAAACTTCTGGTCCATGGACATTCCTTCAACTTCTAGCTGGACTCTTAGGAGAATAATGAAGCTTAGACAGCTTGCCTACCCTATTCTATCTGCAGGATTTAAATGCTCTAAAAGTTTATGGGAAGAGGTTAGAGTGAAGAGCAACAAAGTTTCTTGGCAGAAACTGATCTGGTATCCTTTGCATATTCCCAAGCACAGCATCATCACTTGGATGATAATTCTGGATCGTTTGCCAACAAAGGACAGGCTGCAGAGATTTGGTATTCTTACAAACACTCAGTGCATCTTATGTTCTGAAGCTTCGGAAACTAGAAATCATCTTTTTGCTGATTGTAAAATGTCAGCCTATATCTGGAGCTCTATTCTTCTTCTTTAAGGTATTCAAAAATCCCATCTATCATGGTCTAACTTCCTTATTTGGGCGACTGCATCTTGGAAAGGTAAATCCCTTATCACTTGCATCCTTAAGCTCTCTTGGTGTGCTTTCAACTACACAATCTGGGAGGAAAGAAATCATAAAATATTCAGAGATGCACATAGAACCGAGGGGGAAGTACTCCAAGCTATCAAGCAAACTGTTAGTACTCACTTAAGTAACATAAACATTAATAGACTAGATAGCTCTAACATTGATATATGTAACAATTGGGGTATACTATGATTTTGTTTGTAAATAGGTTACCATTGTTTCCGTTCCATTGATTGGATTGGTTCTATTGTAGCAACTTTTCTTCCTTTGGATAATAAAAGCTTATTTATCCAAAAAAAACATAGATAATGATATGAATCTATAAGATAAGTGATGTAGGGAAAATATATATATATATTTAACGGAAACTATGAAATATAGTTATAAAGTAAAGAACTATAAAGCTTGGTGAGAAGATGATAGGAGTTGTGTGGAACTGAACGAAATAAATAGATTAACTTAGTACATAAATAAAATGAGATAAGCGATATAAATTATATGTTATGGTATAGGTTATCTGATATGTATAAATTCAAGATATTATTATAAATCATGTGATATGTTATAGATAATTATGTGAGTAAATGGAAAAGTGAAACAAGATAAGTATGTACTTATAGGATAATATGAGATTATGTGAACATGAAGTATAACTCTATGAGGAAGACTTAGGTTTTATATGATTTAGGCATAAAAAATGAAACTAAGATATAATTATGTTCAATTATTGGATGAGATGAGTATATGACATTATTATATAGATTATATGAAAGTGTATACATGAATACATGTGTAAGTTATATTGTATTGATAGGACACCTGAGACTACATGTATATGTTATAATGTAAGAAAATGAAATAAGTTATTAATGATATTGAATGATGGGAATATATGAAAACATGACTATGAGATAATTCATGTGACTATGAGCTATGTAATAAGAAGTTGTGATGCAATGATCAAGAAATATAAGCCATATGATACATGTATATATTTATCGAAATGATCTACGTGCAAGTAAATATGTGATAAATATAAAGCATAATGCCCATGTTATGTAATATGAGAGCTAGGGGTATAGTTGGCATGCCAAGAGTCGAGGGATTACAGTGGTCCTTCGGGATATAGTGGTCCTTCGGGACATAGTGGTCCTTCAGGACATAGTGGTCCTTCGGGACATAATGGTCCTTCGGGACAAATATTCAGTGCCCCTAGTGGGAATTATACGAGCTGTGGTGACAGCATATGTGCACAACCTCAATAGACTTACATATCTTTAGTTCTCAAAAGTGTACATGGGCTAAACAAAGAAATGACATAAAGAAATCTTGTATGATATTATATATGTTTCATTTGTGAAAAGTATAGTATAAAGTGCTTCAAAGATTAAGATCAAATTATGTGCTCTAAATGGATTAATGATAGTAATAATGTCAATAAAGCGACTAGAATAATGATTATATGTGTTCATGTATATAAATGGGTTATATGAAATTGTATATGATGTTTGTGTTATATTATTATATGAATTGTGAAATGTTCATGCATTATTAAGTATATAAGGTTCATATTATTCTTGTTTTATGCCTAACTAAGTCAATGACTTAGCGTGTGAGTGTTTCACACGTAGGTTTTGGAAAGCGAGAAGAGAAGCTAAGTGGAGCAAGACAGGTCAGCATCTCCTTTACGAAGTTCAGATCAGTAAAGAATTTTGAATCATGTGTACCTTGTTATATTTAGTTGGCATGAACTAAGAGAATTGTATGGGATATGCTCTGATAGGTTTTGTAAAACCAAATGTTTTAATGAAAATTATTTATGTTCCTGAATTATGGATTTAAATTTTATCAATTTGTAAGGAAAAAGTTTTGAAAAGTCAATGTGACATCTCGGACTCGGATCCGGGTCGGATGCGGGTTGGGGTGTTACAAGAGCTCCTAATCAGACCCGAATGGTATTTCCCACCTCCAAAAGTAGTGCCTCACAGCAAAAACCAGCCTTTAAATTCTTGATTTATGGCAATACTGGCTGGATCAGAGGTCTGCTTGGTCAATTATGTGATAAGGAAGGTATTCCATTTGAATATGGAAGAGGACGATTGGAAGATCGTTTGTCACTTATGGCAGATATTCAGAGCATAAAACCTACACATGTTTTTAATGCTGCGGGTGTGACCTGTAGACCCAATGTTGATTGGTGTGAATCTCACCAGTGTGGTTGGAACCTTGATATTGGCTGATGTTTTCCGAGAGCATGGGCTTTGGATGATGAATTTTGCTACTGGCTGTATATTCGAGTATGATGCAGAACATCCTCAGGGCTCTGCCATCGGGTTTAAAGAGGAAGACAAACCCAATTTCACTGGTTCCCTCTATTCGAAAACCAAGGCTATGGTAACTTCATTGGATATCTTTAATCCGATCCATTTTGTCTGCTAGTTTGTCTTCAAGTGCTCATAAATCTTTTTCATAATATTCTTTTAGTTTGAAGAGCTGCTGAAAGAATACAACAATGTCTGCACCCTCAGAGTTCGGATGCCAATCTCATCTAACCTAAACAACCCTCACAACTTCATCACCAAGATTTCCCGATATAGAAAGGCGGTCAATATTCCCAACAGCATGACAATCTTGGATGAACTTCTACCGATTTCGATTGAGATGGCAAAGAGAAACTTGAGGGGCATATGGAACTTAACGAACCCCGGGGTTGTGAGCCACAATGAGATGTACAAGAAGTACATCGATCCAAAGTTTCAGTGGGTGAACTGCACATTGGAATAACAAGCGAATGTGATAGTTACCCCTCGAAGCAATAATGAAATGTATGCATCCAACTTGAAGAACGAGTTCCCCGAGTTGCTACCGATAAAGGAATCACTGATTAAGTATGTCTTCAAACCCAACAAAAGAACCTGAACAGGTTCTCAGTTATCCCCATGATTAACATTTGCAAAACTGTTAGTTTGATTCATTTGTTACTATTATTGGCCTAGGCATTAATTTTACTTGAAAACTATAGGTATTTTGCATCTTTGATCCTTACTAGCTGCACCGGAGTTGTATCTTTGTTTGCTTAGCATACATTTAATGGAGGAATTGTCGTAAGCTAGTTTACAATTTGTGTCATCTGCATCCCGTCAGGTGGATATTTTTTACGTTACTATTTGTTGAATATATAGCTTTAAACACTCATGTATGTCTTTCATGGAAAAGCTGCATTTACCTTATCATTTATTTGTTTTGAATAGTGATCACACAATAAAATAGACACTAAAATTTTATTTAAACTTTTTCAGGAAAATCCACGAGTAAAAAGGGAATTGCTACTACTGTTAAAAATAAATTCACAAATAATTTCTAACATTAATTCATATTATCTATTCATAAAGATAATTATATGATTACAAAGTAACTTGCCTTGCGTAGTAATAACATTAATCCATATTAGATAATTATTTGATTACAAAGTAACTTGCCTTGCGTAGTAAGAAATATTTTCAAACTATGTTTATTATTTTCGATCAATATAAATGTATTAAGTTTACTGTTTTACATGCGTGATAACTATCATATCTACTAAAATCATATACCTGCAATAATATACATATAATATAAATTATATATATTAAAATTATGTTTATGCATAAGTTAAAATTATATTTTTACAATATTAAAATAAAAATAAAAGTTATTAGTAAAATGTGCCATGGAAAGGTATGTTTTCAAAATTCATGCAAGAGTGGGACTGAGGACAATGAAACCAAATTTGTCTCTATGTATATTTGATTGGGTGAAGAAAGCTGTGGTTCATGTGCCTGAAAATTTCACTCTAAATTCAACCAAGTTATTAAGAACAACTTTCCTCAGCCTATGTCATTCGAACTCAATAATGAGTTTAAATGTTTTTCTAATACGAGTATGTTCAATTTTTCTCCAAAAAAAATTATATATTTGGAAGATTAGACCTTATGCCTATGTTCGAATGAGTTGGACCGAACACCATGGCGTATGAAGGAGAGGCATTCACTAGTCTATTCAGGAATGAGACAACATCATCCGTTGAACTGAGAAAATATCGAGCACTTGTCCGAGTGCGTCCAACTGCACAGGAGTAGTAGTTATCTCCTTGGAGATCAAGCACGCTCCATGAGATCTTTTCCGGTACCGATGGACGTTGTAAACTCTCGCTACTATAATAAGTTCTGGGTTTTCGGTCAGGAGTCGGGAACGGTTGTTGCGACTTTGTTAGTGATGATGATTTAGCTCCACTTCTGCTTGCCGGAAGCTTCAATTGAGGACTTCTTTCGGCAGGTAATAACTTTGGCCCGTCAAATGGCTTGCTTCTTGCCACACTTAATGCATTGAAAGATAGCTCGGGTTCGAAAAAGGTGTAAACATCTTCGTCCTGGTGAAGTGATGAAAAACAATCACATCGGAAAAATACACCGGTGTTGGACATGAGTACTTCAAGAAAAATAAGAATTTGCATAAAGCAAAGATGCACGAGAATTTTACCTTCCCCAGAAAATGCCCGATGCAAATAACATAATTGATCGGTGTTGTCATCGATTTACTGTGAACAATCTCTCCTAAAATACGATCAATGGCTGCCCCCTGGATTACAACGAAGTTATCATATATGCAAGCATGCATCTCTGATGCGCTAAAAAATGTATATGTATGGTTAATAGGTGGTTACCTTCGATACGCCAACTGCTCGCACCTCAACTGAACGACTTCCTTGAACAACATCGACAGATGCATTTGAAATTGGTCCGGTCCAGAGATGCTGCAGCATGTCTCTTGCTTGAAGTCTTCCAAATTCAACATCTATGGACACAAATAACATGAAAGGAAATGCGAGGGCCGGATAAACAGGGTTGGAACTTGGAAACCAAACAGGCTAGGTACCTGCATACTTGTAATTCCACACAAGCGATGTGTCCCGGAAATCAAAATGTGATCTTGGTGTTCTTTCGGTGAAATACTCGAAAACATGCTGCCAACATACCATTGGCTTTCATTATAAGAGGTCAAAAAGAAAATATGTTAAGTATAATTTGATTACCTTCACACTATCAACCCATTCCAAATTCAAGTGTTCTGGCATTGTTGTCATCCAGTCTCCCTTCGTATGTCGTAGAAACATACCGTTTTCTGCAGCCAACCACATGTTGTACTTCCCGAAGTTCTGCAAGAGCAATCAGTTGGTTCCAATTGAGGATGAGCCGCAGTTTAGACCAGAAAGAAAGATATAATGATATAAATCTGAGCATACCTTATCCAAAACACGCCTGTCGCTCCCACTGAGGACAACCACCGTCGTCTTTGGATCATTACAGAGAGTTGTTAAGGGTTCTCCTAACTCCGGATGCAATTTAAGTTCCATTTCCTTGATTTGACCGCCTCTACTCCCCGGAGTGTCTATTGGTTCGGTTAATGTTGCATTAAAACCCTGAGTTTCGGGACATCCCCAAGATGAGGAAAACAACATTGGAAGCATACACAACTTAGAAAAGTGGATTTGTCGATATTGGTACAACAAGAAGCACTGCATTGAATAAAGCTTTTACTGCGAAAGGGACATTTGACAATTACAGAGCTTTTAGATTAACCGATCATACCAGTATTAGCAGTCGGTTGCTAGACAACAAATAACGTTCCATTGCATCGTTTTGAGGAAGCTCGGGAGGCACTTTGCTTGACCTCAGTTGTGCTTCTACAACAGTGTCGTTCAATTCACTGGAATTTCAGAATTAGTACAAATAATCACTAGCATTTACATCCTTGTTAAGACACATAAGCTACATACAACTTTCCGAAATGCAGAGGACGAACTTGGCAATTCCAGACTTCAGAAACTAGTGTGGGATAACACCACTTAAATTTTCAGAAATGAGCGATTCAAAAAGACTATAATGATTAACCAAAATGTTTTGAACAAACATGAGAGTTTCGGCACTCTAGTACAAGAGGAAAAGGACCAAAAGATATATTTCAGAATTTGAAAGAAACATTGTATGCATACCTTACAAATGTTTCAGCCCATTCTTGAGCTGTATGCATTATTACATGATGAAAATTTTGGCAGTGTCGCTTCTCCCTTTCTTCGGCTGGCATGTTCAAAGCCTGCCCGATCGAAGCAGCCACTTCGATGATGTTCCAAGGATTCACTAAGATCGCTCCTGCACCCAGAGATTGTGCGGCACCGGCAAACTGCAAGATAAACCAAGCATATCGAAAGCACCATGATCGTTACTTCAATAGCAAGAATGTTCATTAACTTACAAGTCGTCTATGCAGAACGAAAATCAAGTCCTCTGGAAACTATTTTCATTCAACGCCAAAAAACACGGCATGAAAACTTTTAGGTTGTAAGCAATTACTTCACTGAGAATGAGGACTCCTTTCTTTGCGTCTTGGCAAGCAACAAACTCGTAACTAACGAGGTTCATACCATCCCTTAAAGATGTCACAATTGCTACATCTGAAGAAACAAGGAAATTTTATTGTTTATAGAATGCAATGCACAATCTAATAACAGTTTATCGAAGAATTCAGCGCATTGAAAACATGATGGATAAAGCTAGTAACAATGTCAACGACCATAACTTCATAAAAAAACCTCTAAGTTCAGTTATGATTCATTATAGAACCATCTGTCTTATCTTAGAACCATTCAATGGAGTCGCAAGTTTCTGAAAATTGCATGTGATAAACCATTCAATGTGCTAAAATATGAGTATCTATAGAAGTGAGACCGAAATCTTTATTCGTTCCTTAAGTACTAACTGCAGTTGCAAGTACAATGGACTAACAAATTAAATCTACATCTGATCGCAAAGAGCATTACTTAAAAGCAAAAGTAAAAGAATGAGAAGCTAATTTTGAAAAAGTTCAATGGTGATCCAGTACCAGTAACAGCATATAACGCACATAGTGCATGAAAGTTGAGAGAGCGGTCCTATAAACACAAAAGAAATGCATTAGAATGATTTTCTTTGTGATTGAAATCCATGAAATTAACAAAAAATACAGTACAAACAATGAACGCTGGTAGAAACACTAGGATGAAACCGAAAAATCAATGATCATAAATGGTTTCAATTTTAATTCATTAAGAAACATTTATTTCAGAATAATCCATGCATACACAACCTGAACTTTGGCCTATTATAACTGGTGTAATTCATTTTTAGTAATGATTCAAGTCTGAGGCATACTGCTGAATCCAGATAAAACCGACCATGACAAATTCTCAGCTATACTGTAATTCCAAATCAAGGAAAATGAGAGTATTATTGTCCTCAGAAGTCATACAAGGAAAATGATTTAACTCGAGGTATTGATGAAGCTAGAAAATAAAATACTAAGAAAACATATCAAGCATTACGTATTGGTTTCAGATGTCAAAGACATACCAGGTGGTGTATGGGAACAGCAGTCAATGTTCCAAATCGTCCATTAATACGTCCAACAATTTCATGAACCTGGCTCGTAAGTTTCTGATCTGTGAATAAAAGTGAGAAAATAAGGATTACATTTAGCTAACCATGTTGATAAACAGTATCTGAGCAATATATCAAGAAACAAGGGAATGAAAAGAGCGTACATTCAGGAACATCGGTTCTTGTTGGCACTGCAATTTGCAGCAAAACTACCTTACCACACCAGTACGGATTTTCCTCAAGGAACTTTTCGAATGCCAGTAGCTTTTGTGGAATTCCTTTGATCATATCAAGACGATCGACGCCAAGCATTACCTGCCAAGCTTGTGCAGTTAAAAGAATAAGCACCTGGACAACAAATAACTATATTACTCAGACTTAAGTGTGTCGGATATATGGAAAATTAAGAATTGAAGTACATAATAATGCCATAAGGTAATAATGCATCTACCTTTCGGCCTGCAAACCTTTCTTTCAATTCTTTGATGTGTTCTTGGACTTGAGAAAGCTTAAGAGCTCGTATGAACCTGTCCGAGTCTATGCCAATTGGAAACTAAAGTTTCAAGCATTGAATAAACAAAAATTTAGTATAAGCGTCTGTTGGAGTTCAACTAAAGCAACAAGAAGCTAGGAAGAACACAAAGGCATCAGAACAATCGAGTGAAAACATATAAAAGGACCCGAACATACTGCAGCGACACGGGTCATCCTTCCTTGATCCTCAACACCTTCAGGTGTCCCTTCAAGTCCGAGAATTTGAGTACAGGCACTAACAAAATGTCTGGCGTAGTCATAGGTATGAAAACTGGAACAAGCAAGAAAGTAAATGTAATGGTCATCTAAGCACTTTAAAGTCAGTAAAAATATAGTAGAAACTTACCCAACCAAGTCAGCTGCGAGAACTGAACGCAAAAGCTCGGATCGGGATGGCAGTGTCCTATGAATTTCGGAAGAAGGGAATGGCGTATGGAGAAACCAACCAACTTTCATTTTGGTGTTATATTTCTTCAGGCATTCCGGAAGATACATGAGGTGATAGTCATGGCAACAAATGACATCTCCATCTTCGTAGTTTGCATTTACGACATCAGCAAACATTTGATTCGCTTTCTTATATGCAGCAAACTGTGTCTGGAAACTTCTTGTTGTAGCGAGGCGATCTTCTTGTGGAAGTCCAAGATAGTGAAAAAGGGGCCACAAAATGTTGTTGCAATAACCATTGTAGTACTGATGAACAATCTCTTCATCGAGAAAGACCGGGATACACCGCTGCAAAGATAAAGTGCATTCGATCTGAATTACTTATATCACATATAATCAGACTGAATTCCAACAAGAATGCTTAAATTGCAACTAAATACCTTTTCGGCCAATGCTTTAGTAAGAGCCTTTTGTCCAATCTCATCCGGAACATTTACACCGGCCCATCCAATCCACCTTGCTTCGAACTCCTTGACACCTGTGAATTTAAATCTAAAATCGTTAGATTCCTATATGGAAAGTGGATCAGTGTAAGCACATGGACCAGTTAGACAACATAGTCGTTACCATACCCAAAAGAGCACTCACTAGACCTCCAGCACTTATTTCCAGCGACCACGAGTCTTCACCTCTCCGAATCGCTGAAACCGGAAGCCTATTTGCCACTACCAGAAGTCGTTGCCGGAAAGGCCTTACAACTGCAGCCTCTTCCAAGTATTGCTCAAGTAAAGCAACTCCGGAGTTGTCACCTTCTCGATAAAATCGGCCATTCTCAAATACGTCATCTCCCCTGTGATTATCAATCAGGTCATTCGTATATGAAGCTCTAATGTTCTTCCTTTGCTCCCTTAACACTCTTTCTCGCAAAAGACGTTCAACACGAGTTGATATATGGCTCGTGTTACCGTTGTACTTGTTTCCAGTCATATTGTCGATATCCAACTAGATGACCAATACGGATTTGCATTTTAGTAAATTAAAACATAGTATAGTAACAAAGAATTAAATAAATTCACGTACACTTTCAGACAAAATTATTCGAACTTAAGTCAGGAATAACAACCTTCTCTTTTTCACTGAGACCCTTAAATGGTTATACTTATTGTAGCTTTTGAATTGCTTCTTTTGTTAGAAGGATCAAGAAATCATTCCTATCCCTATAAACAAAACAATAAAACATAATGAATAAAGAAAATAATGCGATAAGTATTGTTCTGAGTTCAAAAAATAAAATGATGTGACAACTGTTATTTGGGGTTCCCTTGTAATGGAAGAAAGCCCCCATACTATACTATTAAAAACACAAATTAAGTTGATACTAAATATATTTTTTTATCATAAAGTCAAAGTAAATTTTAATTTAATGTCATAATTCTAATAACATATATGATCATTTTTACACATGTTTTTTTAATCAAAAGGTAACTAATAATATGTAAACATATAAAAATGTATGTTCGTAATTCTAAACCCGAACTAAATCTTACTGGAAACCTAAATTTCATTACAAAAATTAACCTTATCAAATTGGGTCGAACCCATCCGTGTTGTTTGTTATCCCTAGACAAAGTATACTCTTAAGTTAGCATTTGTTTATTTTCTATATGAAATCTCAAAAATTACATTATGTATATAAGAATTTGAAGAAGAAGAAAAAACATTAACTTAAAAAAAAAAGAGTCGAGTTTTGAGTATAATGTCTTAGACCAAATTAACACGACAAAAATATGTTTTAATATGAACTATATTAACCAATATCACATTATATTGATAGTTGATAATGGGAAATTTGTGATAATTTTATTTATATTTTTAATAATTTTGATCCATTTCCATCAAACAATGACAGAATAATAATAAAAACTAATTAATGAATTTATTTTTTCAGTTTTTTATATATTATGTCAAGTAACATCCCAACTAGTTCATAAGAAAGTAACATTTCAACTATATTTATTTTATTATTACACATGAATTTTGACCATTTTTTATCAGGGGAAAGTCCAATTACTCCATAATGTTTGATAAAAAGAAGGGGGAAAATATCAGTATAAAACGTAAATGTGACATGGATATAAATATGATTGGTAAATGTGATAATTACGGTGTAAGAGGAATGAAGGAAGACCTGGTCCTGCAGGGGAAATGAATCGAACACCTTGTGGTCTTCAAGAATGGTGAAAATGAACAAACAAAAACATGTATTTGATGAAAATAATAATGAATGAAGTAGATGAGAGGAAGCGTTTGCATGGTGGGTTTGTTGTTTTGTGTGGAAGATGAAGGCAAGTGGTGTTGGAGTTATTGGGTGAGACTGAGAGAAAGAGAGGTATGGGTGAAAAGGATGGATTGGTGTGGCAGGGAATTTACAGAAATTTGTCATACATGCAGGAGTGGTTGGGACTTGGGAAACCTACCATAGAGTGGGGCCCTTTCCTTTCGGACTCCATGGGTTGGCCTGAGACGCTTCATGCAATCAGTAGCTACCAGTCGGGTAAACTACGTAAATGGTCACTTGCATTATGGTATTATTCAATTTTGGTCACTTGCGTTATCGTATTATTAAGTTTTGATCACTTGGATGTTGAATGTCGTTAGTTTGATTACGTGACCCGTTAATAAAATGATTGAATTTTTATTTTAACTCCTACACTTCATACCCCCAATATTATCATCTTCTTCTCGCTTCTTCTTCAGACATTTCTGCTCTATTTGCCTCATTTCAAGGACTCATGTTGCATTTAAGGAATAATGAAAGATTTCCAACTTCCGATAACAAATAATAACACCACAAGTTCATAGAAAAATAGGAGCTTAGAATTTAGAGATAAAATGAAGCTTAGTAATCTCAAACTAAAATTCAATTTTCAAAGATTGAGTTTGCACGATGCCAAATCCAACAAGGAACAAGAAGACAAATCAATGGACCCAAATAACTAATAATTGGATATCACTCTTCCTGGTGATTTTTTCTTGAGAAAACGCCTTCGGTAAAACATAATCAATGGATCCAAACAACTCGATAAGGGGATCTATGAATTTAGCCATTGAACTCAATCCAAAATCCATGATCTTCAACGTCAAATATTTATTTTTCCTAAGAACAAGGAGTTTTCCGATTTTAGATCCCTATGGATCATTGTTAACCCCTGCGGCCTATGCGATCAGTCGTACCGTCGTTGACGCATCGGCCACCGAGTACCTCATTTCCACGAAGACCCGATCGAACAACTCACTGCCATAGCAGAGTTTCAGTACTAATTGAATGTCAGTTTGATCTTCGTAAACGTTATGGAGGTCGGCCACGTTCGGATGTGACGAAATGTTCTCGATGATTTTTTGCATCACATAGATTTTGTTACTCAACAATGCATCAGAGATGGAAACATGGTATTGTGTCATCAATAACATTTTCATTGAAGAAGCTCTAGTTTTCTCGACCCGAGGTGGTGGCGTCACCATGGTGGTGAATCTTTTCAGAGTTTTAATAGTGAATTATCTATATTTTTTACGATCTTCATCACTTCTTTTTATACCTTTTCTTACAACTAAAATTCACCTAATTTGACTTCAAATAATTAAAACTAATCATTAGAAACAAAAAGGCTATTGCAATGAAGTTGATATGTCTGAAGAAGAACTGGGGAGAAGATGAGTAATATTGAGGGTTAGGGAGAAAAAAACATAAAAAATGGATAAATTGAAATGTATTTCCTAAACTAATATGAATTTACATAAAGACTCATAATCATTATTTTGTCTAAAGTTTATGGGTTAAATTATAATTAAACCATTTTATTAATGGGTCATGTTATCAAACTAACGACATTCAATGTTCAAGTGACCAAAATTTAATAAGATGATAACACAAGTGACCAAAACTTAATAAAACAATTACATAGATGACCAAAACTTATTTTTTTTGAAAGAAAAGTGACCAAAACATAATTCACATATTATCTACGTAGAAATGATGTAATTTTAATTTTATATATTTATCATGTCACTTCAATAAACCGTTAAAGGCTTAATGATCGTTAATCTTTAGTGACCACATCTTAATTTAAACAAAAAAAAATATCCAAATCTTATGTTTTTTTTAATTCAATGAGAAAAAATTTATAAAACTCAAACGGAAATGATCATTTTTGTACTGTACCCTCCCAGTTTTCCCTGCAGTACTTTCGCGGCCACAAAACATTTGATCTCATGCCCACCTAAAAAAACTGAATCAAATATTATTAACATTATTTTTCCCTAAATTTTACTCATCTAAAAAATTATTTTTTGTGACGTATATTTTTGAATAATTCTTATTTTTACCTCAAAGCACTTAATGCATACATTGTAAATTTATTGAGGTGATAAAATAATTGAAATATGCGGTAAAATTAGGCTAATATTGTAGGCCTAAAATTATTGGAGGTTATAGGCAGTTCAAAATTTATTTTAGGATATATGACATTTATTATAGTATAGGGTGAACTCGTCACTCCTACGTGATGAGTATACCCGGATATTATTATTTAATGAATCCAAGCATCTGGGTCTTATGGGGTTGAATTTTTTTTATAATTTTTCTTTGAACTTGTCACTCACATGTGACGAGTTCCATTAAAATATAATAAATTTTATAAACAAAATAATATATTTTTATTTATTTAAAAATTAAAAAAAAGAAAAAATACAGGAGAATTCGTCACGTGAGGGTGACAAGTTCCTTATTATTTTGAATATGATAGTTGCCACCTGAATGTTGGACATTATACATATTCAAACGGCAAGTCCATTAGAACTCGTCACATTGGGGTGACGAGTTATAGCATCCCAATTGATAATTTTTAGTATAAATAGGAATGAGTTGATGGTGTTTATATGAGAATAAAGACAATGTTTTAAGAATAAAAAAAATGAATCAGTGAGAACAAATTGAGTATTATTTTTTGAATTGTGATTATGATTTTGACGACTCTAAATCCGACGATTATGATTCAAGATTATCTTCATATGATGAGTTGATATACCAGGCATTTATATCAATGGTTGAGGAAGATAAGTAGAAGAAGGAAGTTGAAGAAGAGTTGAAAAAGTCAATGAAAATCAAGAAGAAAAAGACGAAAGACAAGTATTAAGACATACCAATTCGGCGTAGCAATAATTTATAGAAAATGATGAAAAAAATTAAAAAAAAATTGAAAAGAAGAAAAAGACAAAAGAAAAATATGAAAACTTACCGATCTGATGAAGTAAACAAATTTAAAGAGAGTTGAAAAAAATTAAAATAATTGTTGAAATTTTTTATTTTGATGCTATAAATATATGTATAAATTTAACTTTACTAATTAAGTATTATTGTATTAAGTGAAGTTATTTATGAATATTTTTCAATTATGTACAGAAAAAGAATAAATTAAAATGGAAGTTGAAAATAAGGATGTTGAAAATACATAAACACACATAAAACTGTAATCCGTAAAATATGAGGTGAAATATAATAATGTAGAGAAGTACATAAACATAATTAAAAGAACTACATCAAAAAAAACATGAACTAAACACAATTATAAAGGCTTTATCCTCTAGGTTGATATTTTTAAAGATTCGAACAATGCTTTCTGCTGTGACCTTCACCTCTATAGTGGCCACAAAGCTTTGGTAGACCTTGTTCTCTTTGTGGATCATCCATACTAGTATGAATTAGGCTATATTCATGTCAATCCTTTAATTTCCTATGTAACTCTATATTTGATAACAATTCTTCAAAAAAAATTGTTGTATGTCAATAAGCATCGTTTGGGAGATACTTAAACTGACAAGTGTATACACATGGCGTACAAGCTATAACAATCATCAACATAAGAGTGTGGTTCAACATTAATGTGCATACATGCAACGACAACTTGAGCGTATAGAAATCTAAAAGCTTG